AATACCTCCACCTTGCCCTAGATCAACACAGGTAGTTTGCATTGTGCTTAACATTACACCAACAGAGACATATCATCAACAAATTAAATAATTTATTCTCAAATTTCCCCCATCAATCTATGCTATATCTAGCTTCCAAATAGGAATCAAGGAAACAGGGCTTTTATTTGCATATATGTCTGGGACCTGTCCTTATTGTACCCATCTGAAGATAAATTATCCAGATGAATGAGATTTCCATGTCTGAGTCAGCTGTTGCAAGTGTGTGTAAGCTTGCCTGGTTTAGACCTTTCAGAATAGCACTCACTTTGGGTGCAACCTTCGAAGCAATGAGTATGCTGCCACAGATAGGCTGGAAGTAGGCTGTTCTTCCCCTGCTTCTTTGGCATTACATACTACTATAGATTAGCTCTTTTGGCTACTCATTGTGTATGTAGTGGTAACCATTATTTTGAGGCTATATAGTCTTATTGCTATATAGTCTTTATTGTTACCACGAAGTAACACCAATTGGTATTCCTTCTGTCAACAAAGGCCCAACCTTAGAGGTTGTATTCAGTTGGTTGCTGGAACATAAATTGGCACTGAAAATACATTTTCAGAATAAGTGAGTGAGTATAAAGTAAAGGAATAGAAAAAGACACCTGACTTGTCATGAAGACACCAGTATTTGCAGACTTTTTTGGCTCCTTAATAGGTGGTTGAGAAGTTATTAAATGCCCAGTAGCCAAAATGAGGACACTAGGATCACACTCCCAATGAGGTCTTTATTAATTCAGGACAGTGGTTCTTTACCCCTTTTGGATCACAGACCTCTTTTGGAATCTGATGACAACTATGAACCGTCTCTTTAGGAAAATGCACATATTAGACACATACACACATTTTGGCATGTAATTTAATTTTCAGGAGCTCAGAGTCCCTCCTCCCACCAACTCATTCATGACCCCCAGGTTAAAACCCCATAATTTAGTTACACAGGTTTTGGCAGTAAAGTGGCAGAATGGAGAAGGAATTGAGATTAGAAACTAGACTTCAATTGTAGTGCTCTGTCTGCTTCTAACTAGCTCTGTGAATATAATCTCACTCTCCAGGTTTCAGTTTTCTCATGTGAAAAGTGAGAGGGTAGGCTTCTTTCCAAATACTCATCTGGTGTCAACATTCTGGAGGGAAAAGAAGCTGGCACATTCCACAGGACTGTCACTCCTTCCAGCAAGGCTCCTCTGTGGGTGGCCTCCTCAGTATACACTGTTTTCTTGGTACTTTTTTTTAAGACCTTTTTTTTTTTTACCATCAGGTAGGCTTCTTCAAATCCCTGTGGTACTACTTTCAATCTAACTAGAAAAGTCTACACAGAGGGAATAACTCTCTGGCTTCCTGACTTCTTCGTCACATGGGACCCTCATAGATAGCCAAGAGAATTTCAAACAGATCACCTGGGCAGAAGGGGGGCGGAGGAGAGGCAGGCTGTGGAGGATATCCTGACACTGTTTAATTAGGTGAACAGTTTCCAGCTCATTCACTATCCTCTTTGCATTCCCCTGAATTGGCACGAAATGGAAATAGACAGTTGTAACCACCACAGGGAGGAATGCTGCAATGTGCTAGCTGTATCCAATCTCAGTTCTTTGCCAACTAATCCAGTATAGCAATAATTTAATATTTTCCTTTGCACTGCAGGTTTACCACACTTAAAAACATAGGAATTTTATGTCTTAAATATGTGGTGCCTTTTATGTAGCCTAAACTTCAAAGATCAAATTATGCAAAGGAAATGTTCAAATGTCTTCAGACACACTGGGCATAATTATTAAATAATAAATGATGTCTTCTCCTCAACCTCAACACTCAAGGATCACAGTCCAACTTTAACCTCCAGGGCATATACCCCTTCAAGTTGTCCCACTAAGTGGTGATACGGCCCAATTTTTAATGTCCCAAGATGATAGGCTATTATCCTAAATTAATTATTTTCTGTGGCAACTCATTACATCTTTATATAGCCTAAATGTTCAGCCTCAATTCACTTCTTTGTAGCTTTATGTCCTGAGATCTAGTGCTACTATGCGCCTTTGACAACGATGATTTGAGTTCCTTCTCTTTGTCATGGCTTTTGATGAGATCCTTCTAAATGTCACCTCACTTTATCCTCATGGCAAATCGGAAGCATTGAACATGTGCTATAAGTAGGCAGATATTTAAAAAAATCATATTAGTCACTGCTGAATCCCCTGTTTCTAGACCAGTATCTGAGCAATATTCATGGATTATTTGCTGAATATAAATATATTTCCTATTATTAATTCCATATTACAAATGTTGAAAGAGATTCACAGAGGTCCAGCATTACCACCAGCTACAGAGGTACTTGAGCAGGCTCCAAAGAAGTAAAGCCATAATGAGGGTGACACTATTTGTATCCGCAATGCTCTGCTTACACCACACTCTCAAGGTGTGTTCCAAGCCTGTCCCACCTGGTCTTATGATGGACACAGTCAATCTCTGTCACTGGGGCTGGAGAAGAATAGTGTTATGGTCTTAGAATGCCACTTGCAGTGGGATGGTGGCTAGTTACTAAGGGCCTTGTTTTAAGTGATATATTTCATCAATAACTGTGGCCATAGACAGTGGCATCTGATGATCTGACTTCTGACTGAAAATGCAAAAGCTTAAAGTTGTTCAGAAAGGCAGAAGCAAAACAAATACAAAGAAATAAACAAATATACCAAACCAACCCAAACAACAAAAAAGCAACAACAGCAAACAAACAAACAAAAACCAACACAACCCAGCCCCCAAAAGCCAAAACAAGAATTATGAGCTGGAACACTGGAGAGGAATTTTCACGAGCATTTTTCTTATTTTTTCTCTGGAACAAGCTCTACTTATTTTTGCCCAAGGAGCCCTGATGTGACTTGTAACATTACTGTAGGACTAAACTGTGATGCCTTACTTTAAAGTATCATTTTCTTTCTTGCAAACTGCTAAGTTCCTTTTGAATTTATATCTTCTGCTGAATATAATTTCCCTTCCCTTGACTTTTCTTATGAATGGGCTAAAAAGCCCAGGTATCACAGTTTTTGAATTGAGCAGGAGAAATGATTTTATAAATGGGACATTTTCTTTGGTAAACAAATTGCAAACACCAATTCACAGTTAACTAAATATGTTTCTTTGGTAGAGTGGACATTAATGTCTAGGTTGGGATGAGTTGAAAGAAAAAAACACTTCTTCAAACATTTTCTGGAATCATTTCTTTCTCTTTTTGTAGCAATTCAAAAAGTAAAACATCAGGAAGTGAAGATGTAACTTTTTATGAGAATGTGATTCTGAGTTACTTCTAAAGTGTCATCTCCAGGGTAGGGATAGATCATTGTAGTCAGAGCAATAATCGATAATAAATATTAACAAATAAATAATAATTATCTAACAATAAATAATAAGTCTTTGCATGCATAGTTCCCCAATAGAAAAATTCATTTCACAGTCAGAATTCCATAAGCCTTGATTTCAAGTGCTGAAAAGAGAAGTTGACAAGTTTGAAAATGCCCTTCATTTAAAAACACAATATCCCAGGGTATACAGAAACTCAATCAAATTGGAAAACTACTATCTGTCATAAAACAAAGTTCCACAGTAAGTTATTCTGATTGACCACATCAAATGATTAAATTTTCAACAAAATCCATTTAATTGGTGTTCGTGTTATACCAGATATGTGGAGTCACTTTAAGCTGAGGTGCTCCACGTGGCTGACACTAAATCAATGGGTGATTTAGAACACACTGTTCAGAAAATGATTTATCAACATATGATTTAAGAATAAAACCAATCCTCTCTTCAGTTGTGTTTTATAAATAATAGCCTAGTTGCAGGCCCCTAGGAGAGAGAATTGATCAAAGATCTATTATGCAAACTTGCCCTTTGCGAGGACTGTACTTGTCCTCAGGTTAAAGCTCATTATCTTCCTGCTGAGTGCATAACATGTTGGTATGATCTCTTAGTGAGTCTGCAGGGAAAATTAAGCAAGTGTGTAATGTACTAGGTATGATCTCCTGCACATGTATTTAATACTGTGTGGACAACAGTACATGAAATAGAAAGCACAAGTTTGTTCTTGGTGTGATTACATCTGAATCACATGGGCTTTTCCGCTGCTTGGAAAGACAATGGCCAACCCAAATTCCAAACATTTGAATTCTAGACATTAAAAAAGTCTTCCTCCAGACACAAATGTGTTCCTTCCTTAGAAATGTATTTTAAGGGGAGCAATAACTGTCTTATGAGAAAACGTAAAATTGGCCTTCCTTGTATCAGGCATGCTAAAACGATAGAAATCCTCTAGTTGGTATGACCTGGGTGAGTAATGTCATTCTCTTATGTGTTAGTTTCCACTTCTGAGAAGGATGGGGAAATTGCACAGTACATTTGCTAAGGTCCAGAAAGGTAAGATGCTTTAGGGAAATGCTTACCACTATCAGTGTCTAAAGAGGCTACATCTCTAAAAGGGAAAAATACTGCAGACATTTACTTCAAATGGAACCAGGTTTCAGCTTCATTGTATAGATCTAAAGAAATGTATAGATCTAAAGAAATGCTGGAATCTGGGGCAGGTACATAGCCTCTTCAGAGCAATTCACTTCTGTTTAAAATTCATGAACTGTTTCCTCTGTGGATATTGCAAGTCAACAGTGCAAACATCTAGGCTTGCTAGGGTGCAGAAGGGCATTGCCATAAAGTAGAGCTATACTTGAAAAGGTGAATGGGAAGACAGGGAAAGTGAGGTACAACCAGATTAAAAGGAAAGTTTGACTATCACCATTGATATATTTGTATTGGTTAGTATTTTTCCCAAGTCATTGCCAGCTGTCTTCTTTTCAGGCCTTTGTCTACCCTACTCTCACAGTTTCTAGTATCAGGATATAGACTTACCAAAGATCTTTTCTCCCTGCCCTATGTGTCACAGCAAAGACAGGCTGGCCTTTACAAGTTGCAGGCTATGGCAAATAATCATTTCAGGGTTCATTGGCTTCATCAGCTGTGTGTGGGCAGATGTTGTTTCTGGGCATCCATGCAAAATGCATTTAGGGCCAAACCACAAACAGCTGTACCAGCTGGGTTTTTTTTTCTGTTAAAATGGAGATACTGTCTCTGTATTCAAGTAAATACCTACTTTTTCTTCATCATGCCAGGCATTTGGGTTTGGCTCTGTAGTTTTGGGTCTCAGTGCCTGCTGCCAAAAGTTGGATTACTTAAACATACCTATTCGGAAACAAGTGACAAGATATTTCAAAATAGAGTTGCCCTGATTTCTACAGTGCTAGAGCTGTCATTGGTTTCCAAGTGTATTAACCAAACTACATGAATGTTAAAAGAATATCAGTGGAGGAATAGGATAAATTCATTCTAAACAACAAAACTGCCTCACCCAGGTAAAGTTAGGGATAACTCAACCTCAGTCCATGGGTGATGGTCACTTTGTATGATGTCTCCTTCTGACCTGATTTTGTTGGTCAGAACTTTCAGAAGCATCTCCTAGGGTTTTGTGGAACTAGATGAGATGGCTAAGATCTCAAACCACAGACCTGGTTGGAGTTACTGCTCTGCAGAATATCTGGAACCCTTATTGTTTCAACAACACTTAGAGCTATTTCTGCCTTGGCAGCTGACATTTCAGTCAATAGGTTTGTCACAATACCAGCAACATCTACAATGTGGATAAAATAAGATCCTGCTTATAAATAAGCTTTCTCCTTTTTGATGTTGCTTTGAAAGACTGTGAATCTTTGTGTGTGTGTGTGTGTGTGTGTGTGTGTGTGTGTGTGTAGGTATATGAATTCTTTCTCATAACCCTTTTGTTTTGAAGACTGAAAATATATCATGCTCATTTCCACCCTTTTGTCTTTTACCTTGTTTTTCAATGCCTGTTTCTTATCCTTAAACAAGGAATACTTTCAAATGTAATTGTTTCATTAACATAATCTCTTTGCTGTAGATAAGACCTAGGGTGAAAATATACCAAACAGACACTATCACACGGTAGTAATTTGGTCAACCACTCGGGTGCTATCCATATCCACCATTTCTACACACTCAATTTCTTCCCGATTTTCGGGATTTTTCTTCTCTTTCCTTTTTTTCTTAGAGGGTGGTAGGAAAGTCAGTATCACAGGTAAAATGGCAAAGCAGTGAAAGAAGGTGACAAATGCTATTAAAAACAAGCACCTGAACAGTGTACAGGTCAGATTTGAAGGCACAGCTGCGAGAGGAATCAGACCAACAATGTAACAGAGGTAACTCTGTAAAATAGCTACCCCATGCACTTCCAGGGCATTTTTTACCCATTTAGTTCTTGTGAAATCCTTGCCCAGAACAAATGTAGATAACAGTGGAGCACAGTTATCAATTGTGTAGTTAATTCCATAAATTAAGCACAGCACAGAAATGCAATCCAGCTCTACTTTCCACAGTGTCATGAAACCTATCACTCCAAATTCCACGGACACAACTGTTAGCGTGATCCAGACGTTAATCAGAGAATCTGCCACCAGGAATGCCGAGAAGAAGAGCAGGAATAAAGCACTGATGCAGGAGTTGTGCAGGGGGGCTCCCAGAGAGGAGGCATAGCGATCCATGTACACAAAGGATGGATTGAAGACGATGAATTTCACCTTGGAGGTGACAGAAAGTCTCCTCAGCGTCTCCAAGAGATCATAAAGTTCTTCTCTGTTTGTTTCCATGGTCTTGGCCACCAAAAACATTCTGGAGGCCACTACATCAACCTCATCATTGTACTTTTTAGAGAAGATGATGTCCTCTTGAAAATGTGAAAATTGGGGGGCTTTCAAGAAGGAATTCCTCAATATGTCTGTGAAATTTTTCTTAGGTAAGCCAGTGGATATATTGAGTTTCCGAAGATAATTTAAATAACTCTCAAACCAGGATATCCGCACAAACCCCTTGGTATATTCTAGGACATCTTCTTGGACACTAGTGTTCCAGTATTCTATGGACTCATAGATGTAAAACCCAATCACAGGACTGTAGTTGCTAAAGTACTTTTGCTGGGCAGTAGTATACTCAATGGTTTGCGTCGCAGTTGCTACGATATTACTAAGGTCTGACCCTTCACTGACCTGCAGATAGCCCATTAAGGCAAAGGAAATATAAATAAGGTAAAAGAGAACTACAAAAGGCTTGACATAGGTGTTGGTTATCCAGTCACAGTAATAGCGTTTGAGGAAACATACCAATAGGTGACTCTCGTATGTGTTCGCTTCTTCTCCTTCAGTTGTGTCCTCACTGAATCTGGCTGTTAGGAGAAACCTGTACCATGCTGGCTTTTCCTGCAATACCTCAGGCTTTGGGACTTTTCTACAGAAGATACTATGCTGGTAATTGTTTTCTATGTAGCCAGTGAACACCAGACTGGAACCATAAAACGAGAGTACATAGAGGTAGTTGAAGAAGATTGCAATGCAGGAATTGCAGCAGAAAATCCTGGCTGCCTCAATGTTCGTGAAAGGGCTGGCCCCTATGCCAAAGGTGACCAGGTACATGGCAGTGGTGAGAGAAAAGGAGAGCATGGAGTCTGCATAGACTGCTGCAGTTCTCTCTTTAACATGTTGGTCTTCTCTAGTTTTCCTCCAGGAGGACAGCATTTCAAAAGTCCCATATAATCCATGACCTGAGGGGACAGAAGAGAAGATCAGAGCCAAAATTTAAAGAATTAATCACTTTAAAATTAAAAGAGGGAACCAAATTTATCATGGGGGCTAGCGAGTTAAGGGGGACATAACCAGCCCTAGTGGTGACAGGTTTGCACATGCCAATGATTTCTAGTATGTAGAGATAAGCTTATATTTTGGTGAATCATGAAATAGCAGCAAAGATCTTCATGTTCCCTTCTGGCTTAAGAAAGGTGGTTGAACTTATACCAATAGAAAGCTGAGTAGATTTGTGCTGGGATCTCTTGAGCATTCTCTACAGTAGTTGCTTAGGGTTGTTGGTGCAGTATGGTGGAACATTCCAGAAAGCCTGCCTGGACACCCATCATTTTGCTTTCCATGCTTTCAGATCTAGCTGGGTGTCATCAGAAGAAGACAGTGAACAGAGGGTTCTGAGTTAACATCCTATCATTGCATTTAAAATTGGCCAGGTAGATGTCTTTGGTGGGAAAGAAGCACTATATTTAATTTGAGCCTTGACAAGAAACTAAATCATAGCCTCTTTGTTTTTTTTTTCTTCTCCAAATATTAGGGCAGGAAGCAATAAATCTGAGAAACAAAGGGAAACAAAATAAGGAGGAAGATTTAAGGAAAGGGGAAAGATGATAAAAGTGAAGAAGGATCAAGATTCACATGAATTTTCCATGCTGTGGATAAAAATTAGAATTGGGTTGAAGGATTATGACTTGCATTTTCTCTTTAGGAATCTTTATGCTCTATTTTGTTTATTCATAGAAGACATATAATACAGGCAGGGACTCTGCCGGCTTCTTTACACTATTTGGCAATGGCCTGTGAGGGAGGGAGCCAGATCAGTAACCTGGCTTAACCGCAAATTTTTATTTAACTGCATATTGCTTTTGCCTGGCTCGTTAGTATTCTGACAGTACTGAAATAACAGACAGTAAGTGCCCATGTTTTGACTCCACTCTGCTGCCTGAAAAAACTAACATGACTTCTGCCACCCCTCTTTGTTGGAGCCAGATACTTCTGCATTCCCTGGGTTTCCAGGCCAAGGCAACACTGGGATGTCCACCAAAGTGACCCATCACAGCTTTTATAACCCCTGTGTGGCACTGGGACCAGCAGATCTCATTTTCTGCTTCCACACCTTGGCATATTCAATCCCATTATTGAGGATAATAAAATCTTTACCCTGTGGTAAAATGGTCTTGTTTTTAAAAAGGAATTTAAAATCTCCAGCCAAGCATAATGCTGAGTGAAGTGAGTCACTGTTATCCTGTGTGTACAGTAACTGAGCACATAGCTTCCCATGTGCCCAGGCCAGTATCCTTACTGTAAAGGCTGGGCCTCAAACCTAAATGCCCACTTCATGGTGATGATCAAGGCCTGTTTCCACAGAGGGACTTGGCATTTATCTCAGTTTATTAGGCATCACTTTAAAGCTGCTTTTAGAGATCAGATCAAGACTGTCAATTTGATAACTAAAACCTTAGTCCCTATTAAATTGAAGGCACCTAAACTCCCTGGACATGAAGTAAAAAGCGCACTCATTGGCTGGCATCCTGTTGTTAATTATGCTTTAGAAAGTCAGCCATCTAATCACTGGAGGAGAAACTAGTTTTTTTAAAAAAAAGATTTATTTACTTTTATTGGAAAGGTAAATTTACAGAGAAAAGGAGACAAAGAGAAATATCTCCTATCTTCTGGTTTATTCCCCCAAATGGCCACAGTAACCACACCTGAACCTATCTGAAGCCAGGAGCCAGGAGCTTCCTCAGAGTTCCCCACATATGTGCAGGATCCCTACTGGATGGGAAGTAGAGCACCCGGGACAAGAACCAACACCCACATGAGATCTTGGCACCTCCAAAGTGGAGGATTAGCCAATCCAACTATTGTGCCAGGCCTGGGACACTATTTTAAAAATCTATTTCCACCATGTTCTCAGGATGCAGCAAACAGCCTTTGATTAAAGTTATCTTGGCCTTTGACAAAGAAGGCAAAAATAAATAAATAAATAAATGCCTTTGAGGCATGAGTACCCTGCAGAAACAATGCTGACTCCTTGGTCCAGCTCTGGCCATTGCAGCCATTTGTTGAGTGAACCAGCAGATGTAAGATTTCTTATTCTCTGTATCTCTCCATCATTCTCTGTAATTCTGCCTCTCAAATAAGTGAATATATCTTTTAAAAACTAAACCAAAACAGGGCCCAGTGGCGTGGCCTAGCGGCTTAAGTCCTCTCCTTGAACGCACTGGAATCCCATATGGGCACCAGTTCTAATCCCAGCAGCTCCACTTCCCATCCAGCTCCCTGCATGTGGCCTGGGAAAGCAGTTGAGGACGGCCCAAAGCCTTGGGACCCTGCACCCATGTGGGAGACCCGGAAGAAGTTCCTGGATGCTGGCTTCGGATCAGCATAGCACCGGCCATTGAGCTCACTTGGGGAGTGAATCATCGGATGGAAGATCTTCCTCTCTGTCTCTCCTCCTCTCTGTATATCTGACTTTCCAATAAATAAATAAATCTTAAAAAAAAAAAAACTAAAGCAAAACAAAACCCTCACAAAAAAACCAGGGCTCTGTTAGGGAGTTATAAAGTATGGTATGAAATGTAGGTGCATACAGCAAAACCAGAATTATTCATAAGTAGAATTTAAATTAAATTTGTTTTGCAGTCCTTTTAAACACAGTGCATTGTCTTGTAATAATCTTGTAATTATAATAATAATAATATAATAATCTTGTAATTATCAGACTTGGACTCTTGTTGGAATATACAATATGAATCCATTTCTTACCTTGCTCTTGAATAATCATAGAAGTTAATTGAGAAAAGAAATTTGAATTAATAGAGCTATTAGGTGACTAATTGTGAGTGAGGCTTCAGTGACTAGAATGAAAAAAAAATCCAAATTAAGGAAAGATTGAAGTAGGCTATAAGCTTGTCCAATGAGTTCTATTGCTGTATTTTCAATGCCTGCCCTTGTATAATTTGACCTTTCCTATTGCATGAAAGTTGGGTTTTTTTAAAATCATATTTAGGTTTTTGGCTCTAGGAGCAGTTCCAAAGAGAATTTTAATTTCATTTATATGGGCCATGGGAAATTATGCCTATCATTTATCTCTTATTATGTGTGTGAATGCGCATGTGGGTGCATGCACATGTATGCATATGTATGCAGACACCCAGTGAGGCCACAAGAGGTCCTAAAAAAATCTGTTCTATTTGATCACTTAACATTGGTTGCCAGTGCTTATTAGCTATGCCTCTGAAGACTTCCATTCCCATTCCTGACAAGTCAGGCTCTTGTTTCTCCAGCCACACTTCTCCAGCACATGCCTTCAGCCTAAACCCCAAACTGGAGTTCTGCAGTGTCTTTGTAAAAGAGCACTTGGATTTCTGGGACAATTGCTCGTGCCACTAGACCTCCTTCCTGAAGCTCAGTCAAGGGAAAGATGAGTGCCAACATGGCTGCAGTCAGCTTTCAGTGATTAACAGCCTGGAGTGGCTTGTTGGCACTAGCCTTGCCCCACAGCTGGGTATTTATGCAGGAGAAATAGGAAAGCCTCACTGTGGTGACCCTGTTTTGTCATCTGGACATGAGGGAGATACATTTCAATCCTAGGACCTGAGAAAGACCATACGTCTCTTCCCTCACCCCAAACACTTGCTCTTTCCATAATCATAGATAATTTCCCTTTGTTCTGGCCTCCATTGGTGTCCTTGTAAATAGAGACTGCTCTGGGCTAGTAGCCTATTAAAGCAGCTTCCTTTAGTTTGTAGAATGAAACAGAAAATGGGAATGCAGAAGGACTGAGGAGGAAATAGCAGGCAGCAATATAAAGTTGTTTTCTCAGGGTTTTTTTTTTTCTGTAGTAACTCCTGGCCTTTTTATTTCTTACTACCACACCAGAAACTGGACCAATCAGAGTCAAGGCAAGGCAGAGAAGAAAGAGTGTGGTAGGGTTGTTGGACTCTCTCAATAGATGGCTTCCTTGTTTATCCATCACCCATCCATGCATCCATCCATCTTCCTCTGAAGAACTAGAACTCAGCATGCAAGATGTGAGGAAGCACACACTGCATATAGCTAGAAATCATTTTACAGAAGCTGAACTACTGTTTGTTCCATTTTACAAAGGAACTTGAAAAACAAAGGCATTGCTATTGGCACTCTTAAAAAATCCTTATAACGGAAGACACTTTCTAAATGTGTCTATGAAGTGTGACCAAGGGACCTACATAACTGGCACAAAATAGCAGTTAGGCAAGGAAAAATTTCCCGTTTCCGGTGTCCCAAGTCAGTCCTGGAGGGCTCTGTAGTAGCAGGAGCTCCCAGCAAGGCTGGAGGGTGGTGTTGCATAGCTTCCCAAATCCAAAGTTTCCAACAGATTTCGACCTTGTTAGGCAGGGGTCCTGTAGTAGTAGAGTGATGGCTCGTTATCAGCCTAAGTCTTGGGAGTAAAGGGATTATAATAGGGGTGACAGGAACTGACCAACCACTTGGGGCATTCCTTCTTGTACAATCATGTGTAAAGCCAAAAAACTGCCAACACATATTGAATGTATCAAATTCTAAAGCGAAATAAGCCTTTAAAGCATTTGTTTAAAAACACATTCAAGATGTTTGTTTCTGTTTTTGGCCAATTGCACATCTGTGTCATTACATGCATATATACTCATGCATGTCACCACACACACACATATGCACACATCACAGTTCCAAATCATGAGTGTGTGCTTTGAGGTGACATAGTCAGCCTTGGGTAAAGGTCAGTAGCAGAACTCTTCACTACTGTCTAGAAACAGTGATACCTAGAGTGTGCTTTGTAAAAGGAAACTGCTTTTGTTAATTCCGTTAATAGTAGACTGGGACTGGCATTGGGGAAAATAGAATACTAAAGGATTTAGGCTAATAATTCCTCTTCTTCTCCAAAGAATACTCTATTTCTTCATGCAGTTGGCTTTCAGGCTTTGGAGACAATGAAGAGAAA